ATTGGAACCCAGAATTTAATTGCCATAAGGGAATGCTGAGATGTGGGTCACAGCTGAACACAGACTGTCTGATGAGACCTTTAGAGATCTTGTCCTTGACATATCCAAGTACAGATGTAAGGGCTGGCTCTGCAGATCCCCTCACCTAAGTAAGTCCTCTCGCCGCTGTCAGTCTCTGCACCGAGGGAAGCGCTGCATCCCACCATCTGAGCTGACAGCCAGCTCTACCCCACTGGCCCCATCAGTGTCTTTAGCACTCTCTGGGTTGAACTGTGTCCCCAGAAAAGATAAGTTGACATCCCAAGCTCTGATACCTGTGAAAGTGGAATTTGTGAGCAGTTCCCAGGAGGTCATACTGGTGTAAAGTGGGCCCTTCTCCAGTCTAAGTAGAATTCTTACAAAAGGGAAGAGACGCAGAGAGGAAGACAATTATGTGAAGAAACATCCACAAGCGAAAGAGCCCTTGCTTGTACTACCAGAAGCTGAGAGAGACAAGAAAGGAACTTTCCCTGGAGCCTTCAGAGGAAGCATGGCATAACCTATGCTTTGGTTTGGACTTGTAGCCTCCAAAACTATGAGACATTAAATTTCTGTTCTGTAAGTCACCTAAATGTGTGACATTTTGTTAAAATGTCTCTAGGAATCAAATGTAGGCATTTCTCTTCACCTCAAGGCACCTAGTTTTCTCAGCTGTCACACTGGAATGATATAGTCCCTAATTCATAGTGGATTACGGCATTGGCAAAAACTATTCAACATACTGTGGGCTGCCAAGAGAACAAATAAATCAGCCTTGGAAGAAGTACAGCTAGAATGCTTCTTAGAAGTGAGGAAGACAAGGCTTCATAACTCGCTTCCTTTGGACATGCTATCAGGCAGGGACCAGTCCCTGGAAAAGGACCTCATGTGAAAAAGAAGGGTCCGTGAAAAAGAGGAAGACCTTAAATGAGATGGACTGACAGTGAGGCTGTGGCAGTGGGCGCAAACAAAGGAGCGATTCTGGGGATGGCCCAAGACCCGGCAGTGTTGCATTTTATTGCGCATGCGGTTGCTATGAGCTGGAATCAAGTAGAGGTTATTTAACAACAGCAACATGGGGTTTTTCAAAACGTTCATGGAAAAGGCCCATTATTATTTTTCAATTCCATTTTTCCATGAACTTTTTAAACCCCCTTGTAGATGTGAACCACTTATAACTTAGCCTGCTCATGGTCTACTTGGCACATAGTGAGTGCTCAAAGTTTATTCTGGTAGTATTCCCTACAAGATTAAGTTTCATCCTATAGTCTTCCTTCAGGGGTGTTGATTCTTAAATATGTGTCTGAACACATATGAGTCCATGAAGTAGTTCTGTTGATTCCAGTGTATTTGTGACCCATGTGTGTTAAGAGTAGAATTGTGTTCCATCTGGTTTTTCAATGACTGGGTTTTCTGTGGTAGATCACCAGACCTTCCTTACAGTGAGCCTTTGGGTGATCTTGGACCCTCTAATCTTTTGATTAGTAATTGAGCAAGTTAACCCTTTACACCAACCAGGGAAAAGGTGTCCATTATGGTGAGAAAAATGCTGCGTGCATTTGCTCAATGAAGACATATTTTCATTCAGGGTAAAAAACAAAAAATGTCTAGATGGGTCTGGTTAAAAGAGATGGGGATGAGATTCTTGAGATTCAATAGTAATTGTTATTATGACTAATTGCGACTGTCACAATTTTAAAGGTAGAAGTTTTGTAACAAAAATGGGGGAGCAGTTAATCTTCCAGTCCATAAACAGAGGACCCTAGGACCATCAAGGGAGAAGAGCACAAATGGAGTGAGGGACCTTATTCAGAGAAGCAGCGATACCAGAGATGGAGGCAGAGATGGGAACATTGAGAGAGGGAGTGGCTGAGGATTCTAGACTCATGGAAACAGAGGGACTAAGAGCTGGCCAGGAGGCAGACTTGTAGAATGTGTCCTTTGGTGGTGTAAATTATTATATATGCCTCAGTGTTGTTGTTTTTTTAAAAAAAGCTAAAGTGAATAGAGATAAATACTGTTAACACTGATGGTACATGGAGGGGATTATAATAATTGTGATGAAACAAGTTGTATGATTTGTTGAATGTAAAACTTATGATCTGCCCTGTAAACTTTCACTCAATCCACATTAAAGAAAAACAAAAACATTCTCCTTTCTAAACTCAACATGTTCTCTCTGAGTTACAAGTGATTTCATTTTGTGTACAACTTACATGTTGCACACACATTTTCCACTTTACAGACTGCTTGCCAGCCCCTTAGATTAATTAATGTTAGCACATCTCCCATAGCAACTCACATCTAATATTGCAAAGCAGCCTTAGATACAAGCAGGGTGTGAGATTTCTCCCAAAGCCTTTCTGCTAAAGACCTCAAGACCTTGGTCAAAAGGCCTGCATTAGCAAAGGCTAAGATTTTTTTTTTTAAAGAACCTTTCTCACCAGTAAAAGGTCCTATGTTTAAGGTAATTAACCCAGAGGCCCCTGTGAAGAGCAAGGGACAAAAAGGGCTTCTGCAGTTGCAGTAAGATCTTTGAACATCTGAACATGCCTGGGCAATGGCTTCTTCTAGAACAGTCTGGCTGGCTGGGACTGTGGGAGGTGGGTCCCACCCACCCCGACACCATGTGTTTATTGGAGATGTCCCGTAGGAAAATCAACACCAGCACTGGGCAAGATGGACATGGCCAGCCCACTAGTCAAGCAAATTCTCTGGAAACAGAATTACTCTTGATAGAGAGGAGACAGGCCTGAATATCTGAAGGTGGGGCTCGGAAATACAGCAAGAAGAATCAAAATATACCCCTAAAAACTCCCTCAACAGCACATGCCCCGTGGCACAACCTGCAGCCTCCCACCCACAAGGCTTTTCTGTCCCCTTCTCCACCTCATGTCATTTACCTTTGACCCAGCTACCAAGTGACTTAAAGCAGAGATTGGAGTGAGTCTCCCTGTCTGCTGAGGTCCATCCATGCCACCTCCCTCACCCACCCTACAAGATAATCCCCAGATTCGTCAGCCTGGCTCCAGAGCTGCACACCTCCAGCTTCAGTCCCAGCAATGGAGAAAGGAAGCTGTGGGTACCAGGTATTGCCTCCATGGCCTGGAAACTAGGGCCTAAGAGCCAG